GTGCAGCGGTGGGCCGGGTGGGATGAACTGACCTCGCTGGCCGGATCCGGCCCGTAGTTTGGCGACCCCTGATTTAACCTGTAGTATAATCAATTCAATTGTTAAATGCAGTTAAAGAGTTGTATCTTGTGATAAGTGTATGTCTTTGTTAAAGGATTTGTCGTCCATGCGGTGTGTACATGTTCTTTGGAACAAATGAAAGTTAATGTGCTCCTTGACCATTTAAAGGTTATTAGTTTTAAAGTTAATTGTCAGCTTGAGGACAAACCTGAAACAGAGGAGAAGGAAACGAGTGACATCTAGGCACATTATATGTTTCATACCTGCTTTTAGTAATATCAAATTTTTGAAAATTGTCTTTCAATTTGTTTCTATGCAGTTCTGGCATTAAAGTTGTCTTACTGTACTCGCCTTTGTTCTCTAAAGCAGGTCATATATACTCTGCCTGAGAGGATATTGCAGTACATTCGTATTGAAGTTGAAAGGATCAGTGGCTGGAACATACATATTTGTTCTTATCAACTATTTCATAGACTGAGCTAAGGCTTATCCATTGGTCACTACATTAACACAGTTGATAACTGTTTGTGAGTGGAGCATTGTATTGCACAGTTTGAAGCACCAGAAGAGATAAAATAGATAAGGAATCTAATTTCAACAGTAAATTATTCTCCATGTTGTATAAACTGTTAGGTGTGGTGAAAATCACTCGCACTCTGCGGATTTAGCAGAGTGGGTAATACAAACTATAAAGTTTGTTAATCCTAGTCAATTCGACTAGGATGAGCTTTTACTCTGCATTATGATGGCGTACAGAGTAAATGAAGAGTCTACAGGCTTTCACTAAACATGTGTGTGTGTTTGGGTGGATTCTATTCCCTGTTTTGATCAACAGTATGAGATTGAGAATGACGAATTAAAGGAGGATGAGGATGTCATTCCAAGTCATGTAGACTCACCTGAAGAGGAGGAAAGAGCTGTAAGTAGTTATATGACTGTCTACGACAAACTAAATGCGAAAATGATAGAGCTAGAGACAAAAGGCAGCTCTGAAAGTCAGCTGAGCCACCAATGGCGACCTCTCGATCAACATGAGTGGAGCTGCCTGATAATCATATAACTAGGGCAGTTACTGTCTGTAGAATCACTGGCTAAAAGAAAGTGGTGATCTATGTTTTTCCAAGATATCAAGTGATGTTCACAGTACAATGTATGCATTACATTGTCCAATATTTACTTGACTGTCACAAAGTTAGGATAGTTTATTGATTGTAAGATTAACAGGACAAAAAAAAGGTTTAGCAACTCTTACATTTTGAGCTCTCAATCAGGGTTTGAGAATTTATAATGATTCTGTATGCTTTGAGGGAGTTGTGTTTTCTCTGAGTGTATAATATTAATCCTGGCTGACAATAATTTTAGCTGAAGAAATTTAGTTTGGCTGAATTCTGCTAGTGGTTACTTAATTTTTGTTACTTTATGGATAGACTTAGTATTAAAATATGGGATTTAATCCCAACAGTGGACAGAGTGCAGATAGCCCATTATGTAGCTTTGCACTAATAAAAAACAACAACAATTTACTTTGTAATACCTGAAAAGATGGCACCAAATTACAATAACATAGGCATTCGTGAGTGTTATATAACACCAATGGGTTAATTACACAAAGAAACAACAATAAATAGCATGCACGTGAAAATAAAGAATTTGACCCGAGTGCTAAGACGTTCTTGAAATTAAGTTAACTGTGATTACAGATCTGAAATGCTTTATTTGAAATTATAGTGCACGTATTATTTTCATTAATAATAAGAAAAAAATATTTAAATTTTTACATTCAAATATTCGGCAGATAATGACTTTTCATGAAAGATATAAGATGAAAAAAAGAAAATCATACTATGTCTAAGAGAAAACATTTTTTGGTAAAAGTAGAGCAAGTTATTTACATTGGATTAAATTGAAATATTTGTAATTATTTAAAATTATTTGTAA